GAGAGAGAGAGAGAGATTTCATAGTTAGGAGCGAATTTGAGAAAGACTGTCCTAGGATGACCACTCTATGGATCATTTTAGTATAGGCACGACATGTATTGTAATATCGACGGTAGAGAAGCACATGAATTTTAGATATACCTAATAGTTATCTTTTATTTTTTATATATTTAACATTTTGTATTATGCTTTGTTGTGGGGATTGACATTTTAATAATTTGTATTTGATATTTTGTATTACTGTTTGTTATGGGATTGATTATGACATTTTAACAATTTATATTGACATTTTAAAATTTTGACATTCAAATATACACAGTAGTTCTTCTATTTTAATCTCATTATTAAATGATAAATATATATGATTTATTATGAGATTGATTTATAAATTATTTATAATGCAAAGTTTATTTAAAAATGTAAAAAATTATTCTTACTGTCAAAGATATAAAATATTATCATAAAACTAATTTGGAGATTAGCATCTGGAACTGTGTTTTTATAAAAACACAGAAAATACACATGCAAGGTTAATCTGAAGATTGTAATTCATACCAATTTTTGATAAAAGTAATGTGTCTCGGTCGTAAAATGATTTTGTAGTAGAATGAACGCATCCGAATTTTGAAATTAAAAATAATAATATTTAAATTTTTTATAGGGTGTTATAAACAATATCCTTGAGTAATAAGTAAAAAGGCTTATGATACAACAAGCCCATACATAATTGAGTAAAGCCCATAATCACAACCAAAGACTCAGGAAAACTCCAGAGTCTTTGAGAGAGCAATTTATTCGACAGAGGGAAAAAAAACATAGAGAAAAGAGAACAACCTTAACAAGTGGGAGAAAAAACGCCAAGAGTAATCAACGTTAACGATGTTTTTCTTTTTTGCAGGAGGGTTAGAACAACAAGTCCGACAGGTGGTGAAATCCGGTGTCGGAAAGTGCATCAATTGCGGTTCACGCGCTGATCTTGTTGAATACGACAAAGTTCTAAAGCTCTTTTTCGTTCCCGTTTGGCGGTGGCCCGGGAAGGACAATCTCTTGTATTGCCAAGACTGCAAGTTTTTGTTTCCTCAATCCTATTCTCTTCCTCCGCCGTCGAACGGTGGTTCTATTTTGCCGGACTCCTTGAAATGTCGATACTGTGATCGGAAAGTGGGGGCTGATTTTGCGTTTTGTCCTTACTGTGGTACCCAACTGTAAATGGTTGAGATTTAATTATTGTCTTTCTTGCTTCATTTTTCTAGAAATTAAGGCGTTATATTTTGTACTTAAGTTTGTAATACACAAAATCAATAATCATGTTAATTTTGATCATGTTACTTTGAAATAAACTAGTAGTGTGTATGAATATGTGAATGCGATCAATGCATTTTATATGCATTTTATCTTTGATTTAAGCTAATTTCATATTTTATATTCGCATAAGGTTAGCAACAACATTATCCATCAATTTTTTATATCAAGATAGTCATTTGATTAGTCTAGTCCATTTGAAGAGTATGGGAGATACGAAGATTTTCTCTCAAAACCAAGGTAACATCCATGATCAGAATATGTAAGGAGTTAAAATTATGGTTTGGAGATGGCTAAGTGCTATGGTAAAAGGTTCTAATTTTTTGTAGAAAAATGTTGGTGCAATCCTTTGGCTTCTCTAGGCTTGTGAACTCGAGTGGTTTGGCTTTTCCTTCTAGTAGGGATGACAAAATGTACCAGAACAATGTCTCTTTTATTCCTAATTTTTGGCTGAGACAAGGTTTTTGGCTCAAACTCTCTACTCTATCTGGTACCATTTTTGGCGTGCTTTAGCAGGTGCGGTATCAGCATGACGGACATAATCTTACCTCTTTTAGGTTTTTACCACGTTTAGGTTTTAGGTATGCAAGGTCCACCGTCTCTGCCCCAGGCCTCGTCAATGTCATCATATTTTTTGGTGGAGCGAGTCAAGGTTTCTGGGTCAGTCCCCCTACTATTCTTGCTCCGCTGTTTTGACGAGTTTTGCAGAGATCGGGCAATTCCCTGTTTACCACCACTCTCCAAGTATTTTAACAAGGCTTTTTGAGCATTTTAGTACTGTGATTTGTATAGAGGATTGGCATTTGGATAAAATGCAGATTTTTTTAACCCACGCTGTATGAGTTTGTGTGGTGCAGTTGTGAATGAGGGAGGTATGAGTGATTACATTTTTTGGAAAGCAAAGATTGTGATCAACCTGTTGATTTATGTCTGGCCCTGGAGTGATTTAAGATATCATGCAAGTAGTTTCGAAGTGTTATGTATGTGTAATGGAATGCCAAGTCCAATTGGTTAGTGGTAGCAAGGAACACTCGACCATGACAGTAATTGCACTAATGCATCATATGTATGCGTGCTTTTAGATTTTTGGTTACTATTTTGGTTTTCTTGTGGTATGGTTTTGCTTATGTAAGACCCTTGGATGTACTTCTCTGTATAATCAAAGTATATATTGTCAAGTTTAATGTGTTAATTTGAAAAAGCAAAAAAAAAAACAACTTGATTGTAACTGAAACCAGTCAAGAATTCTTAATTAACATTGTACCAAAATATTGACATACAACAATCCCCTTTATTCAAGGGTCTGGTTAAACCACCACCATCTAAGACGGTGAACCATAAAATGGACTGTACACAAAGAAAAATTGTCAAAACCCAAAGTTTACAACCTTATCAATCTACAAAGGAACAGAACAGCCTCTTATATCAACACAACATTCCCGGGTAGCCTCACTAGGTTGATGCAAAGCCATGAAGTTCTAATGCAAGGTTGTCCAAGAGCTTTGACAAAAAAGAAGGGAAAAAATATCCTTATTTGGATCTGAGAAGCATAACTAAGTGAGACAAAATGCAGTGTTTGGTTTGTGTATTTTAATTATTATGTGTGTTGAAGGGTAGTTGCTTATCTTCTTTTTCCAATGCATCCCTCCAAAGCCTGTACCTTACTCCAAGCTTGTCATAGGTTACTGGCACATTCCATACATTTGCACCATTATTCATTCTATCTTGTTGCCCCAATACGAGCCGTAGATCCTCATTTAACACCTTTAGTATCAAAAAATATTGACACAACATTAGAAAGAATGAAGTTAATTTTGAGAGTCATTTTAACGGACGGAGGAAAAGATCTACCTGGTTTGCGAAATGCCTCCATAGATGTTCCATGAAGGGTACGTGCTTAAGGAGTGGTGCGAAATCCAGCGACATTCTATATAGTAATCTTGTTTTATTTTTTGAAGAAGGTAAGCAAACATGAAGTTGGTGAAGGTGTGTTGCACATTCTTTGGTGCTTTGTCCTTCCAGTTTACCGGGTTTTGAAATTCCAATGGTTGATAGAACCATACAAGGCGGTCGAAACTCCATATCGATGGGATAGGGATCCCAATATCCTTGCAGGCCAGATGCAGGTGTCAAAAAATTCACAAAGCTGCAAATTCAAATTCACGCAAAGAGATTAAGTGGCTTATAAATGTAATATATAAGTGAGTTATATTACATTTAGTTTCCACAAACCTTGGAACACTCCATCCCTTAGCAAATGTTGAAGTATGAGTAAAAGGCGCATGCGCAAGATCCAAAAGGTTGTCCAAAAGTAAACCATGTTCAACCGGAAGTTCCATGACAATCTGTTTCGTGCAAAAACTCCCTAGTCAGAAAATTTTATCTTCTTTTTTCTTTATTAACTGTAAATCATAGTTCTTGCATAGCTCAGAATACTTATTAGGATAGACTATAATAATTACATACCTCGGCATGGATTACGAATCCAGAAGGAGGTAGTAAAGATGGAAGTGAGACCGTTGGGGGATCATTGCCAGGCCAAATCCAGATCATGCCTTCTTTCTCAAAGCATGGAATCGACTTTATCTTAACATTTAGCATTTTAGTTGATGGCATTTTCTCGCATTTTCCGTCAGTCGAATATTCCCAGCCTGATATCCAACAATGAGGTAATTTTAGAGTCTATCCCAGAAAAATAAATTTGTTTGTCCTGTCATGCAACTCATTATTACTATGATATAGTAATCATGCTAGCGAAGCAAAAAATGTTTTAACATATTCGTTCCGATGAATACTAACCATGGTAGGGGCATTGGATACGACCCTCGTTTACTGAACCGAGGTGCAAGGGACATGCTCGGTGAGCACAGGTATTCTGGACACATCCTGGCTTGCCATCTTTACCCCTAAAGATAACCCATGGTTCCTCAAAGACTTCCATTGGGACCTGAAATAGAGAAGGAGCAACACACTTATCAGAATTCACATTCAGATTAAGCTGATCTTATAAGTTTAAGTTAGTCATAAAAAACATAGTAAAAGCTTTTTTTAATAAAAGGACTTATACTAACTTACCATGGTATCGTCCTTTAAGTCATTAGAGAATGCAACAGGATACCAGAAATTCTTTAAATTAGGATGATATGACTGAACTGGACCTGAAACATTCAAGCTTTTCTTCGGCTTCCGTCTTCTTTCCGTATGCACAGACTTTGCAGAAGTACTTGGAGAAGAGGATGTTTCGGCAACTTCATCCGTGCTTCGGTCTTGCACTTGCACTTGCAATAGCCTATCGCTTACCAATTCTTCCATGTAAGCTAGTTTATCTAAAGCAGTGGAAACTCTTGCTTCGGATATATGAACCTGCATTAATCCATTATCTTACATTATATTCAAAAAGAAATCCGGATTCGAAGTTTTATTTTTTGCTAGTCCGGTGCTGCTATTAGTTATTTATTTACCTGTCTATGTGCATCTGCTAACTCGTCCTGCAGTCCAGCTAGATCCTTTTTCATGGTGTCAATCGACTTGAATTCACGAGCTAGAGGGTTAAGAACTTCAACCACCTAAACCGAAGTTTTATGATTGTATAAGTAAACACATTGCGGAAAGTATTGTGTCGCGTGTATAACTATAATGGAAATTAGGTGAAACCTTTTCATGGAGGAGCATGATGGTAAGCACGTCTTGCCGAGCTCGCCAATCACAGTAGTGAATATCCTGCCTAGCTACTTCTAAAGCTTGATATACATCCAAAATTTTCCCTTTACTTTGTGGTACTTTAGATCTTGGATCCTCTACATCAAAGATTGCACCCCATGTACTTTTTTTGTCTGCTTCTCCGAACACAGCAAACACTCCAAATTTACCTTTCAAACCCTATAAATCGACATGCCCAAAAAAGTATAAGCTATACAATTAGAGACTATACTCTTTCATGCATGGAAGAGCAGGAAAATGTAGACCATACAAAAGGCGAATCTTGCTTGTTGCTATACTGATAAATAACTGCTCATAGCTATAATAAGTTTAACTTTAACTGTTGTGTTATTTGAACATCAAAATACAAACACTCCTATGTGATACCATATGTATTTATCTCTATCTTTCACTTACATTTTATCTAATTTAACTTGCACTCATGAATACACTCAAAAACTAAAGACACCTTAATTGGCATCAAGATTCTATCATACAATAAATGCATTAATAATTTAGATAAATCGAGCCATCTATTATTAAACCACTCTAATCACACGCTTCAAATGTCTTGATGAATATGTATTGAGTGTAATAACTGGAATATCCCTTACCTTACAAGTCACCTCAAACTCAAACTATATTTATCTAAAACTAAAAACCAACTTCATGATGCAAAATTATCATCTTGAGCTAAAGAAACTTATATTAAGATCAACAAATTGAACTGCATGTCTAGCATATGTATAAAAAAGTATAGACAAAAAGAAAAGGAAAGAGAGGTAGCGTACCCTTTTGGAGTCAAGCTTAGACGTTCTACAAAAGATAGGAAGAGAAAGAGCAGAAGCAGTAGCTATAGCATTCATGGCTGTGAAAGTGAGAAGGAAAGAGAAACCAAAACCAACATAAACGACTTTGTTTGATGATATTTTGTTGATAAGAGGTTGGTGTTCCTCGCGATCTCGGTTAACCTTCTAAAATACGCCACGTGGAACAACGTGGACTCTGTTGATTTACACGTGGACCTTGTTATTTCCACACGATTTTGCACAGTATTTTGCAGTTGTGGGACCTATTGGGTTGCCACCTTGGATTTGGATGATATCTTCTCTATCCTCTTGCGCTCTGTCTCTTGTCGTTTCTTGGTGATTTGAGAAAATGAAATTGATACTAATTGGGTATTGGTGGGTGTGATTTGTGATTTTGAA